CGGCCGGGCCAGCTCTTCCCGCCAGCCCCGGGGACCGCGGCCGCCGCCCTGCCACCGCTCTCTCACCCCGCTTCGGCTAGCCAATAAAGAAAAGCGTAAATGGATTTCTGAATCCATTATATATGGATTTATATAATAAAATTTATTATATAAATCCATGCATTTCTCCAGTCAGGTATTAAGGAAATTGCCACCTTGCCACACCAGGACAAAAATCGCCTGTGAGGATACCGGAATATGGCTACATGTGAGACTAATGTGCATCTTTGGAGTAGAAAACGAGTTTTGATAGCAATTCGTGGCACTGGCTAGGGCCCACGCTGGAGTATTTTGCTTTAGATTATGTTGCAGAAAGGCACCCGTCCCCTCACCACCAAAAAACAGGCAGTAGTTTTCAGCCCATGCTAGACAGATGATCCTTTCCAAAACAGAGCTCTGAAGGCCATTAAATAAAACAACGATGGATTATAAAACTAATCCAGACGCAAAGCTGGCTTTGAAGACACGTGGCTGCCCTTCACGGCAACCTACGCATCCTCCACGCGTCATCTGGCTGCGTGGGGCTCGAGCTCAGGAACATCCTCGGCAACACCCGGGCAAGAGCCTGAGCCGGCGCTGCTCCTGGCATGCCTCTCAGCGTTATTAGCACTACAGGAGACCACGGGCAGCCTTCACGGGGCTGCCAGACCGGCGTACAGGTAGCAGTGAAGCGTATGCGACTTTCTTGTCAAAGCTCCAGAGCTGGAGAGCCTTGCTCTCGCACTCAAAACTATTTTCTGCTTTCTTCTGTCGGGGGACGTGCGAAAGAGGAGGCAATTGCTTAGGGCGCCTCACGAACCCTCTTGTTCAAGCACATCTAAATCTAAACCTAGCATTACAAAAGAGCATTAGGAAACGCTGAGGCATCTCAGCCAACTAAATGCACCAATAGGCAACTTACTTAACAACTTAAGTACAAAGAGATATTTGCTTCATAACCTGATCCAGCTGAAAGACTAAGACCACTTCAGCGATAGCTAGCCTTAGTCTATTGTACATGGGATTCAAAAGACATTCATATATGCAGTTAGGAGCAACATATCTACTGACAAAAGATCTAGTAAAATAAAAACTATGCTATAGAATCTTTCTTCCGCAGTTTTGTCAGTGGTTGTTCCTGTTTTATTAAACCTTATTTTTTTAACTCTTATTTTGTTTCCTCTGATCTACTTTATTTTGCAACATTTAAGCTAAAATGAACAACACCAGGAAAAAATAAGCAGTTGGGTACAAAGCTTCAGAATAAATGTCAAACTAACAGAGGATTCACATGCTTTAGATGTGTGTGTGTGTGTACACACGTGCACAAAAGCATCACATTTTCACAGCTGCATTACATCCCATTACTAGTAAAATAAGATCTACTCATGCTTTTATATGCTTTCCTTGCATCATTTGCCAAAAACCTACTACAAGTCCAGTGAATGACAGAAGACAGATTAATCCTGGTTCTAGATAGTCTATTTTCACTCAAATGTTCCAGCTGACACTGGTTTAAAGTGCTAGTGTCCACTGTTTGAGCTATCCACACAGTGAAAACGAACAGCACACTTGAACAGAAAAAATATTTTTGCTCTCAAATAAGAGCAAGTAAGAAGCCATATGCTTTGAAGAAAGAAAAACAGCAGTTCCTTCCCTACTGCTGATTTGCAGATGGTTCACGGTAACGGCTGATGTTGGATAAACAGATTTGAGCTGTGCTAGGCACGGGACTGCGGTTAAAAGAGGGGAAGTGAAAGTGCACAGCATAGGAACGTCTTACTGGAAAGATACCAAAGATAACACTACAGTAACAAGATCCATAAAGTGCCTCTAGCATCTGAATGACATGATCGGCTTATGGACACTAGATTTACTGCCTGGTTGCTAAAATGAAGAAAATCACCCATGGGGGAAACTCTTGATATGTCAGCGCCACATCCTTCCCTTCAGCATCCTTGCCAATTCTGAGGGGTTTGCCTTTCAATTCAGTAACCATTTAAAATGTGGATGAAAGACTTAAGTGTACTGCAGAGAGCGCTCAGTCTCAATGCAGTCAAAAGCAAAAGGTAAAATAAAGGTGATTATTGGTAGGGGCTGGAAAAGGGAAGACTAATAAAAAACACGAGATTTTTTTTTTTTTCCCCCTTTAATTTCTTACTGTTGAAAAACTACAGCAACTGAGTTTGCCTGTAGATGTTACTGGCATTTGTAACTGGGGCAGGGCAGACAAGATTTGTGTGTCAAGACCGCCTCTTTAGAAGTTGCTGATGGGAACATTCTGCTCAACTGGATCCAAAAAAAAACCAACCCTGAAGTCACAGGAGCTTCACAGACCATTTGTGCTGAGGTACAAAAGATCTTTAAATTCTGGTTACAGAATTATTTTAAAGTGTACGCTAATTTACTTCTCAAATACATTACGTTTCTTTATCTTCCACAGGCTTAGGAATCTGGAAATTGTGTGTCAGAACTGGATGACTTGTCTTTTTCTTGCTTGATTCTTCTGAACTATTTCCATAGAAACTTTGGCTTCATACAATGGGATCGGTTCATCCAGCTGAGGCCTAAAATGGAAAAATATGTCAGAAATGTCTGGTGAGCATGCTTAAGTCAACAGAAATATTGCAGGACAACTGCTATAGACTTTACTTTCACTATGTAAACCTTACTCCTTAAACAAAATAAAAGTTTTAATAGCATTGCTTTGGTTCACAGAAGAAGGGAGAGCCCTAAAGCAAACAGGAAACAGAAGTTAATTAAAAGATATCCTTCTCACAAAGGGAAAAAAAAAAAAAAAAAAAAAAAAAAAAGGTGGGGCGGGGGGGGTTTTTGCTCAACAGCAATACTGTTACCCTGCATTAAGAGAAAGGATCTGCCATTCCCACCTCATTATGGGAGTCTTCGTATCTAGTGAAGCTGTCACTCTTCTCAGAGGAGTATTGGACAGACCTAATGTCTTTTACAGCCAACACCATTTCTCAATCAGACACACTGCTGAGCAGCCAGATATATGCTTTTCCTCCACCAAGAAAAGAATGTGCTGCCTCTGTTAAATTTTGACATGCAGCATAATCGTGGGGTTTACCAAGTTTCCTTGTGCTTAGCCTGCTATATTTCAAACAGAAATAGACCATAAACTGCTCCATATAAACTATGTGAGGCATCTTTTCCTGAGCATCCCAATATAAATTTGCAGTACAGTGCTGGGAAGAGTTTTCTACTTCTAATGCTGAATTAAAAAAAAAAAAAAGGCAAGAAAAAAAACCCTCCACATCTCTCACCTGAAAATGCTACTTGATAATTTCTCCATTATATCTTCTAAGATGGGTATCTAAGAGCACTGTCAAGGTAGCAACGTACCTACAGATAAATCTTTCTGTAATCACATTTGCTGGCAAGAGCCCTGCATTGATACAAAACCAGCGGGATCAAGGCAAAATGAAAATTAACCTTAATTCCAATCTTTAGATTGGATTTATGCACTTGTTTATAGATCAGAAACCTCCTTCCCTGAAATAGCATTCAGAAACGAATATGGAAAATGGAATTTTGAAAAGTACAGCAAAAGGGTTAAGACTGACAAATGCAGCCCGCACTAGTGCAACATTAATCAACCAGAATGGCAATTGCATTTTTTGTGCAGAATGAAGATGACAGACTTTGGTAACAGTGAACTATCCCTACTATTCATAGAGACATCTGAGGTAAAAATCAAAATAAAGTTGGGAACATATCTGAGTCTGTAAAATCTTGGAGCACCACTGTGCATCTGTAAGGGATCTTTGAGTTAATGATGAACATTCATGACAATGTGACAGATGAGGCTGTATTTAGTCTTTATATGAACCTAAAAAGCCAACATTCCTTCATTTTAAGAACAATCTGGTTAATATTTGAAGCTCAAGCCATTTAAAAAGCAATCACCTTGCGATTTCTTCAGATGATATTAATGCCATATGTTCAAGAATTTCACAAGATATACAGATACAAAAAAAGTAGATTTTTCCTTTCCACTTTTAAAGCCTGTTGTGATAAAACATGCTGTTGTTATTAAAGATACCCCAGGAGACGACCGAAGAAATCTTACTGTTTAGTCAGCTTACTTTTTATATGTGGATAACTACTCAGTAAGCATTCAACAAAAATACCAAACTATGAAATGATTCATGATAACCTGCATCCCATAAATATTTCCTCAGTGTGCCTGACCTTGCCTCATCTACTTTGCAGTTTAGTGGAGGAGGGGAGGACTTCCTTGCAGTATAGTTAGTCGTTTCGCAAATCGAGTGATTTAATCTACACCTGCCTCTGCTCTTCTGCTAAACTGCAAAAGTGATTCAGCAGATCTCATAATCTGCAGTGCAGTACACAACAGGGAGGGTCCTTAAAGCCATAAACAGACAAACCTTCCATTACTTGAAGCAATCCACTGAAAACTGTCATGCGAGTAGAAAGCTCAGAGTCCAAGCTGCTTAAGACCAAATGTAGGTAATGCAAATGAAGGAGACATTCCTCTTCCCACAGCCACATCTTTCCTCAATAAATTTTATGTACATAGCATTGCAAATAAAATATTTTGGCTTCATAACCTTTTCCTTAACTTTTACAGTTAAGCTGATTGCATTAAGATTTACAGATGATGCATCTACTGCCCAAAAGAACAAAAAAAATTTTCAAAAACGTCATATGCATGATATAAAAAACTTACAGAATCAAATCTTCAATCAATTGGTTCAATCTTGAACCAAAATATTGCATTTTCTCCAGAATGTGTGTTTTCTATTTCAGTACTGCTTTTAATGAAGCATGTAGAGACGTATATTTAGAAGGAATGCAGAGACTAGCTTAAAACAGGAGTGCATGTTATATTTGAGTTACACCATATGCTTAGCTGTGCTGACCTTTAAGCCTGTGGTTACATGACTGAGGAGAAGAGAATCTGTTAGTTGGTTTCTCGGTTATATTTCCATCCACTCGTATTAGCAGTCAGTATTCAAAATGACCATCAAAAGGATATAGAGATACTTCCCTTGCTGTATATTGGACAAGCTCCATATCTCATCATTCAGAAAGGAGACTGTGGCTCCTTTAAGAAA